GAGGTGCTGGAGACCCAGGGACCGGGGCAGGGACAGTGTGGTCAGGCCTGTCCCCGCCCGGGGAGGGACCCCCAGCCCCGGCCCCAGCCCCGCGGGCCGCGGATGCTGCGGAGCACAGGGCGGCCCTGGCCCCGCTCCCGCAGCCCCATCCCGGGATCTACAAACCAGACGCTCTCAGCTCAGGCATATTTTCCACTTCCAAGCCGCGGCGATCCGCAGGGAAGGGGAGTGTTTCCACCCAGCACACACCAGCGCCGCACAACACGGTGCCCAGCTGGGCTGGGATCCCTGCAGACCCTCGCTCCTCTCTGCTTTGCTTCCCCCCCCCCTCCTTTTCTTTAAAGCAATGCAAAGATAAAATGCACTCGATAGAAACACATTAAATACCAGGGAAAATTGAATACAGTAATTACCCTTTTTTTTTTTCTTTCTTTTGAAGATACAAAGGTTCAAGTTTACTGTAAAAGGGGTCGGTGCTACACGAAGGGACGGGCTTGGCGTGAGAGGAGCTGAAGGAACCACGGCTGGGGAGCCTTACACTGGGATATGATCGTGTGTAAATACAGCCTTAAACTACAGGAGAGACGATACACAGCCCTGGAGCCCTCTATGCTGGACACAAAATGCATCCTGGCGAGCACCGGTGTCCCCAGTCACCTCCCAGCCACCCCAGAACTCAGAGAGGCTCCACGGGCTCTGCTGGCGCTGCCCTGGGTGCAGAGGCTGCCTCTGTGACCCACACCCTGCCCGCTGCTGCCAACCCCCCTCCCCACCTGCCGAGACACACAGGGACACCCCTGCCAGTGCCGTGCCAGGGAGCTGCTGGGGTCTGGGGGGACAGAAGATGTTTCACTAAAACTGAAACACTTTGTTCTCACTGGGGGCCTTGGCACCCGCTGGCCTGGCCGGGGCAAATCCACATGGAAAACCAGAATCTCCCACTGTGGCTGTAGAGCCAGGGAGTGGACTGGGGGGAAACTGGCAAAATCCCCTCCATCTTTGGCACAGTCACCATGGCAGCCAGCACTGCCTTTTCTCATAAAAAAAAAAAACAAACAACCAACATTTAGGTGAAAATTTTCCAGCCCAACTCCCACTGAAAAGCTTAAAGGAAAAAAAATAAGAAAAAAAAATGCTACAAAAATAGTGACAATTGCTCAGCTGAGAACTTTGTGTTGGCAAAATCCACAGATCCTGTCACTGAGACTTCCAGAAATTCATCCTGGTTTTGTCACACTGGCCAAGTTGGAAGAGGAGATGCTGGAAGCCATGGCCAGTGGTGCCTTGCTTCACTGAGATGGAGGATTTCAGCCTCAGGGGCCACACAGTTAGTTTTGAGACCCCAACAATGACATTTTTTAAATATTAAAAATCTTTGGGGAAGAAAAAAATAATTCAAAAGAAGTCCTTCCTGCTGGGAAGCCTTTCCCAGGCATTCCACATCCTCCAACCCTCCCTTTGGAGCCAGCACAGGGCTGCCCCCCTGCATTCAGCCCCCTCACACCAGGACCAGGCTGGGGGAGATGGGACAGATAGGAGAAAAATGCTGTGGCTGCCAGCTTGGTCCCTGCACAGGGAGAAGTACAGGGCTGGGCTGTGGGGCAGAGGGTTCCCAGGCCACGGGGCTGCAGTGGGGAGTGGGGAGGTCTCCTATTGCTCTGTGTGGCTGCAGTGCCCATCGCTCGCACACTCTGTGGGCAAGATGCAGCCAGGGAGGGCCCCAGGCAGGCAGTGGCTGAGGGTCCCCCTGGGCCCCCTGAAGTTGCTTGGAGTCCCCTGGTCTGTGCCTGGGCAGCCTCCTTCTGCCAGGGAGGGCAGGATGAGGCAATTCTCCTGCTGCCACATGCAGAGAGGTCTGGTGGGGACAGCCAGGCACTGCAGGCAGGGCTGCAGCCTCTGCAGGGCCAGGGTCTGAGTCCCACAACACGGAGGGGCTGGGGGGGGAACTGGGGGGCACCACGGGGCAGGAAAAAAACGGGGGGGGCAGTTAGTGGTCAGGGTGCAGGGGGCAGTGCCGTGCCCCGCGGGCAGCCGTGGCACAGAGCACGCTGGCCATCTGGGCCGTGGGAGCTGCTGGGCGGCCATGTCCCTTCTCCTCTCCTACACAGCCCCAGTGGGGTCCTGGCCGCCGCACGGCGCGGGGCCACCACGGTGGCACTCACATGCTGTCCGCCAGCTGGTGACAGTCCAAGTCCCCCTTCAGCTCCAGGAAGCCTGGCAGCTTCACCCCCGTCTTGCGGTCCACGCACCAGCACTTGCCCCGCTGCCCGTCCAGCGCTGGGTGACACTAAGGGGACAGGTTCAGTGTGGGGTGCTCAGCCTGTCCCCACAGCCCCATCCCCACAGGCTGCCTGGCCAGGGCAACCAGGAGTTCTCATGGGGGCTTTGCCACCCCCATCCCACCCCAGGGCTTTCCCACAGGGCTCCAATACACCCGAAGGGCGATTCCCATGAAAGCCAAGAACTGGGGGTGGCTCTGCCATGACCTAGCTCTGGCCTGTCCATGTCCCCCTCCCAGCCTCACCCTGGCTGGGCAAAATGCAGGAGTGGCCTCCAGCCTCCCTGTGATGGGGGAGAGCCCATCCTACCTGCTTGGGGTGGAAGTTGCCGTTGCGGTCGCAGTTGGGGATGGGGATGACGTACAGGTCCTCGTGGGTGCGGGTCTGCGAGGCCGCCAGCCTCTCCAGCGCGCGGTGCAGCTCACTCTGGCACGAGCCCTGCGCCTGCGGGAGGAGGGGGCTGAGCCAGCAGTGGGGTTGGGGTGTGCGCCCACCCTGGCACGAAGGGACCCCCACCCTGGGGCACCCAGGACCCCCACCCAGGGACACCCAGCGCCCATCCTGCCCCGGCCCAGCGCAGCCCGGTGCCCGCGGTGCTCACGATGGGCCGCGTCTCCTCGCGGTGGTGGGGGCTCCCGCTGCTGCGCATCTTGTTGCCGTTGTTGGCGCGCTTCGCCTGCAGAAACCAGAGGGGGATCAGCACCGCGGGGCAGCCCCAGGGGTGGCGATGTCCCCACGATGCCCCAGACCCCACAGAGCAACTTACACCCCTGGTAACGATGTGCAGCTGGTGCTGCCAGGCCCCAGATCCCACGCTGCCTTCTCCAGTCCCTGCAGGCATCACCCCCAGCCCTGGATCCCCTCCTGCCCCTACACAAGGGTCTGCCCGTGCCACAGGTGGCCACGTGCCACCAGGCACCAGGTGCTTGCCCGGGGATCCACAGAGCTGGAAGCTGACCCTGGTACACACAACCAGGGAGCTGCAAGAAGACGCCAGTGCCTCCAAAAAAGCTGCCTCTGAGGAGCTGCTGCAGGAACGGGAGCACCAGGGCAGCACCAGGCACGGCGGTGGGAGCGGAGCCGCGCTCTGCCGTGGGGCACAGCCCCCGCCAAGACATGAAAGAAGAAATTCCTGGAATAAGAAAGTTAATCTCCGTGGGGCCAGTCCCGAAAGGCGGCGTTTGGCATCCTCGCCTGCGCCAGGAGAGCAGCCAAACTGCAATCCCAGATGTTGGCAGCTGGAGGGAGCGTCATGAGATCCGAGCTCTCGGCGCGACTTTATTTTGTAAAAAGCCGCCGGTCCCTCCGGTCGGGGCCGTCAAGGCTCAGCGGAGGGGGGGGACGCCCCGGGTCCTGCTCTCGGAGCCACGTCAGGCACAGCCCGAGCAGCGTTTTGACTCCCAGCCCAGCTGGGCTGTAAGAGGAAGGTGCCAGGGCTCCCTGCCCGAGTTCATCCTGAGGCTGGGCTTATGCTGATCAATATTGCAGCCAGCAACGGGAAAAACCTTCCCAAAGCAGGCAGGGGGTGGGCACTGTGCAGCGTGGCTGGATGCGCCCAGGGGCTCAGAGCGCCAGCAGCTGCCGGGGTGATGGGGCAGGCAGTGGGCAGGGAGCAGGCAGGCAGCATGGTTGGAGCTTTAGCCTCCTGCCCAACGCATTCCCATAGGATCCCAGCCCTGGTCTCCCACCAGCACTCCTACAGCAAAGGGCTCCTGGACCGGCTCCCAGTTAAAGTTCACCACGAAGCCCCGATCAAACCCTCCTCCTTCATTCGTGTTATTTGTTATTTGCTTAATCTGTCCGGTTTTTTTCCAGGAAATGGCTCATGCCCTTGAAATTTGAAACACAAACCCAAAGTCTCCAGGACCCCGTGCAGAGCAATGCCAGCCCTGGTGGCACCAACCACGGGGCTGTGGCGCAACGTGGGCAGCAGAGCCCAGCCAGGGGCTGGGGGGGGGGGGGGACGATGTGTCCCCTT